GAGCCAGCCCCGGGCCACCCGCAGCCCGCCCGCCGCTCACTTGTGGAACAGATGCGAGCACGGCAGCTTGCGCGCCTCCTTCATGGGCTCCCAGCAGATGGCGCAGTTGTCCTGGTTCTTCTCCACCTCCTCCTTGCTGGCCATCGGGTAGCTGCAACGCGAAAACGCGAAAATGTACGCTTGTCGACGTCGTCGCTACCGACCGCGCCCGCGATCGCGACCGACGTCGACGACGGGAATTCATGTGAATCTACTCTGTTGCAGCCGGCGCGAAACCCCCGGCGTCCGTTCCTAAACGTTTCACTTTTCCCTAAGATATTGATTGATCGATGACACTTTGCAACGTAAGGTTCGATAGGAAATTTCCAACATGACGACCGGTGGTGAGCACATAAGTTTCTAATGAAATAAATGCAGTTTCGCGTTAAAAAACGACCTGTTCACAGAACACACAAACCAATGCGATAAACAATGATAGATAACGAGCCTATTACCTAATCTGACCGCGAGAACACAAATCGTCACATCGAGTGACGCACGAACCACCAAACGTGCCATTGCACTCTGCGCAGGCTGTTTATTATTATTATCATCTGTCACAATATTCTTTTCAATTAATTATGTTTCCAGCTGTACAGGCTTTATAGGTCCGCTAACAACGAAAACTCTTATTCGACGGTTTTGGAAAGTTGCTTATTCAAATTCAAGTTTGTACTTATCCACGACATCAGTGTATAACCTACCTTTATCTTTATAATAATTCACTGTTGCATTTGCTACCTCTCGCTTCCTATATTTCACAACCACGACTATATACTACAACTTTGTATTCAGTGTATATGAAATTGAAATAATGAAATAGAAATTCCGAAAAGCTTTACAAGCAACTTGTTCGTTTACAAAACAAAAACAAACTAAGAAAATAACAATGTAACAACAACCGCGTCACGAGATAACCTTACGGCCTTAACGAAACGCGCTACCAGTTTGTTCACGGATTGGTGGGCTTCAGAACTAAATTTTGTATTCGTATCCATTCACACAAAATAGGTGCACCAAAATGTCCGTCCTCGTCGCCGAGGATGAAAAGCCCTCGAATTCTTTCACGCAGATACTCTCCTGCAATACGCCTTCCTGGTGGAAGTGTCCCGAATTGTTCCGAGCCGAAATCGGCACCCACGGCCGTAACGAAGACTCCGTGGTCGTTTGGTCGTCCTTGCTTCGCCCCTCGGCTTAATTTTAATTCAATATTATGAAACATATTATACGTTGTTCAGCTAATCAATCAGACTTATATCAAATACTTATTTGACGTCACAAGGTCGTACGATAAATACCGCAAATATTATAATTATGGTGCAATAATGTGACGTACAACAAATTGAGGTGCTTATTTCCAACGGGGAAGTTACGATATCTTATTTGTTGGTCATGTCGTGGTAGGCAAAATCAAAGGCCAGCTGTCACTTATTAACAATAATAATTCAGTTTTATGTCTGTGACACGTCGCTTCCAGCATAAATGCAGAAAGCGGTTCTGCTCGATAAGACACGTATCGTTCGCCGGTTCTTGAAGCTGAGCCTTTGATCCCGATCGACTGTGCCCCTGCCAGGGCAAACCATCTCTCTCAGATCTTGCCTTACATAAACAGTGTAGCTAGCCGTCGAGAGAGACAGGATACTAGCCCCGTGTTAAGCTCACCTGGCCTTCAATCTCTCAGAATAGTCCTGAATAAAAACAAATCAGCTGTTGGCGCATGGCGTTAAGTAGCAAATGGTTTTCTTCAAAATAAAATATATAATTATTATTATAAATATAATTACCGTAATGTGTGAGTGCGCATGCGAGTTCAATGTCATGTCAAATGTTACTTCTAATGATCCGATGTAAAAGCGTTGTTTCGCTCTAGCGACGTGTCACGCGCGCTCGCCGGCAGAAGCAATAACGAACCGCCGCGATTAACACCGGTCTATTGGCCTAAGTGATATTTAATCTCAATGTTATTTGTTTACTCAATGGCATCGTCTGATCTTGTGGTTCTGAACTCATTGTTTTGTCGTTAATTCAATTGCTATATTATTTGTTATAATATAATGGTTATTAATTTGAACACAGTACTGCTAGACTACTTTACTTTAGTTACTTCCATACTATAATGTCCTACGGGAGTCTCATGTGAGGTAAAGCGGCAAACATACAAACCATATTTGTATTGCGAAAATGAGACATTCGTAGCGTTTAGGTTCTCGGGTTTCTCTCAGAGAAGTTTAAGGAGACCCTGCAGGCTTAGCACGAGCCTTTAGACTAAAGTTACCTCTTCTTCGAACTGTCAATTTTAAGCCTGTTGGTATCATATACATACATGCACAATACATTTGCTCAAATATGTTGTATGTGCGTAAAAATGTACATAATTTCATTAAGAAAGAAGATATCCATAATATCAACCTTAGAGCTAAGTCCAAACTCATGGTTCCACGATTTCGTTTAACCAAGGTAAACGACTCTTTTATGGGGAAGCATATACGTTTTTACAATAACATTCCGGAGCATATATTAAGATTATCATTTTCTAAGTTTAAAACCTACTTTAAAAATATTTTAATTCAAAGTCATATTACAAAATTGAAGACTACGTGTTCGATAAAGATCTATGGAAAGACGACACGGCTCAGAATGAATCTACACAAATTTCATTCAAGGGTATTCCATAGCATTGAAGTTTATTTGAAAAGAGCAAGAGTTTCTTGCTCGTTCTTCTCGGGGAAGTCAGCCTAGTGAACGAGGAGTAGCTTTCAAAGTGAGGTTTTCAAATGTAAATTTATTTTACCTATGGAATAAATGATTATTTGACTTTGTTGACGCGTGGCTTACTCGGTGTTCAAAACAGCTGGCTGTTAAATTTCGAGCGTCATTAATTTGTATAACAAGACTAATTTAATTATGTGAATCGGGAGCTCAATACCATGTTCTTTTTCATAAAATGTGCACGTTTTTGGTATCTGACTGCCGTTGCTATATTGCTTTTGTTGAAGTCCCATAACCCACTGGTACTCGTATATCTGTCCTTAGAGACTGACTACATTTGGAAAGTGAATGAAAAACGATATACACATCTTATTACATTTGTTTTCTGTTCTGTTCGACGACTGAATAGCATACGATTGCTTGTTTTTTGTCAAATAAAAATTACTCTGTTTTTCTCTTTTTGAAAAAACAGTTTTATTACACTTTTTGTTACAGTGTTTATGTATTTTTGCCTTCATCGAATAAATTATTTTCTATTTTATTATATAATTATTCTAATTTCATCACATTAGTATCGAGGTACGACATGGCATTCGCCACCCCCCGCCCCCGTGTACTCTTTGCGTAGTAGTAGGTAAACTTAACAGAATAAGCGATAACAAGCGACAGATTTCATCCACTGAAGCAGGTTAACCAACGTTAATTGTACCGTTTATTTTAAAATCATGACCACCTCCTCAATGCCCGAAACCGACGTTTCCGTTAGTCGGCTCACGCGAGTGAAATTATTTACAAGAGACGGTTTCAAAGCGTACTTTATATTTTTAGTTTTCAATAGCATTTTTGTATTGTTTAACATTGATTGTTATTTTCGTTTACTAACGGTATCGTACGGACCTAAGCTAAATAAAGTGATTTATTCAGATTTTTATTTTAGATTCCGTCGAAACGAGCGCGGGGCTCGAAAGGCTCGGGGTACGCACTTCTGGCTCATGTGGTTGGCGAGCTGCGTGTAGAGGCGGTGGTTTCGCAGGCGCAGGTGCAGGCGGTGCAGCAGGTGGCGCAGCTGCAGCAGCAGCACCAGCGCCGGCAGCGACACCGCCGCGCGCGTCCACACCACCTGCCCGCCCACCACCAGCGTCTCCACCACCAGCGCCACGCTCTGCAACAGCACAGGGGACGAGTCCAGGAGCCCAGTTTCTCCCCGACTCGCGGAAGGCGCCGCAACGACGCTTCGAGTAATACATTATGGTGAGTGATAACGTCATGTAAATTAACGGCGCGGTCGTGCTCTGGCGCCGACTCGCCATGAAGGCATAATGTACGCTGAAATTTACACGGTTTACAAATCAATAAGGAAAAGAAGAACCGAACTATATTCGGCAAGCAGCAGACGCACACCGCTGACGTATTGGAGCATCTGTAAGGTGTCAACCTTTGTTGTTAGATTGATTGAAAGTTGGCCGAAAAGAACTCACGTCGAAGAAGAGGTGCGTGTAGTAGGCGAGCGGGCTCGCGGCGTCGGCGCGCTGCAGCTGCAGGGCGTACCGCGCCGCCACGTGCAGCGACACCACCAGCACTAACACGCACTGCGCAAACATGACCAATATATTTTTCAAGTGTCAAGCTGTCGGTTCGACACCTGTAGCGGCATCTGCCTGTAACTTTAATTTCCAAGTTCACACTAACAGTGAAGGCAATTAGTCAGGAGAACAGTGTCGAAAAACGTGTAAAGTCCCCAACCCGCATGGGGCCAGTGTGGCGGATTACGGCGTAAACCCTCTCTGAGAGGATTCTTTGACGGTCTGGCTAACGGCTGTAGCAAAGCGCGACGGAAGGCGTACCTCGGCGGCCATGAAGGCGAAGGTGTCCTTCCCCTGCGGCAGGCCGAGCGCGGAGGCGAGCGCCAGCAGCGCGCCGGCGCCCGCCAGCACCAGCGCCAGCAGAGCCACCAGCCGCACGTGCGCCCACCGCGCGGACACCGGCGACGACGACAGCTGCACATATCGTATCCTCAACTAATGTCAATAAGTCATTGGACCACGACAAGATCGATAACCTAGTTGTAAATTTCAATTTATACGTACATATTATTCAAACAGCCACTATACAACTACAACAAACCTCCCCTTCATTCACAGACAGCCACTATAAAATTGTTTACTTTTTTACCTACAACTAAATTTGCATATACCTCACTCCGTGCGTGTCTACGTCTATATCGTCAACTTGATTGATCAAAATCAGAAAATATGAACTTCCATTATTTTTTCCCTTCATTTACAATAAATTCACCTAATTTAGTAAACAACGCGTGGCGACCTGTGTACTATACCAATACAGGCATTTTATGCCTATGTCGAGTAGGTATGACATCTATCTCTCACAAACATCAAGTTCAATATTAAGCTCTCATGTAAGTCAATCTTTTATTTAGTATCTACGTAATTAAACTTGTACATTTAGATAAAATAAATAAATTATTATGATATTATTATGGCTATTATAGTATTTTAATTGTAACAATTATAACGGACTTTGGGTCTCTGAACTTACACTGACTTAATTTGTTTGCCTAGTTTGGATTTACTTCATTATTCAAAGAAGTGGCGTACAATATTGTAAACCTTTTTTTGTCGAAGATATGGACATTTGTTGGCACATTTCGATTTTAACGAACGGGGAACGTTAAATGTTATTTTAAAGGATATATGTATTCTGTTAACTTAAGATGTTTTGCAGTAGATGGTACAACAAGTGCATAAAACGCGTTATTTTACCCGAGACGAGTATATCCACCCGAGCCGCAAATTAAACAGCAATATTACAAATAAACGATTATTTAATTAAAACTGAATGTATAATTACAACAATTAGACATATTTAATGTGATGGTTTTTTATTGTATGCACTAGAGCATAGAATCAATTTTATGCAGCCTACACCCAGCATAAATACGAACTTTAATGGTCGTATTCCAAAACTCTACTCTATGCTCAAGTCAGGATTGCAATGGAAACACAAGCACTGGAAATACGACCCTAATGTCTGGGACTTGAGTATGTTTTCGAGTGCTTTAAACCATACTCAAATCCTGACTTGAGCATTGAGTAGAGTTCTAGAATACGACCCTTAGAGCATGAGAAGTGAAACTACTTACATATTCAAAACGATCTTTGCACAACTGCGCGAATAGATGTAGGAATCCAACGAGGGTGAACCAAGAGCACCAGAGAAGCACCTCGTCCATGTACTGCACGTTGATGACGCCGAACACGAAGATGAACTTGTAGAATACGTAGTTCCAGAACTTGTCTTTGACGCGTTGCGCCTCCGACACGCGCAGCGCGCCGAATACAGTGCGCACTACCACGAACCCGAGGATCGCCAGCGCGCAGTAAGCTGTGTTTATTAGGGTCTGTAACAAAGGACACATACGTTCCGTACATATTGAAGTTTCAAGTACATCAATCAACACAAAATCACACAGGTGAAAACTGAAAATCAGCAATGCTGAGTCTTTCATCGTTTACTCCACATCACTCAACTGCTTTTCTGTTTGTTTTTTAAGTATTGTGTTTCTTATGTTTTGTGGAGTAACAAATCCCTTTTTATTTTTTTATTTTATTTTTATTTAAATAGATACGTCATGGCGACCTCCCAAATTTAATGACGAACTAAGGTCCGAGACATAGGAGATCGGACAGCGGCGCTCAAATCTGGACAGGACATCATTATCGTGAGGCGTGCGTGAAGTCTAGTGCAACATCATGGTGGATGGCACACTATGACTACGGGAGACCTATACCCAGCAGTGAGTGAAGGTGATGATTGTAGCTTTCAGCTTTCTCAGGTTGTGCTTAGATGAAAATAGTTTACTGTGGTAAGTGACAGTACAAAAGGAGAAAAATAAAACAATCGCCCTTTCGGAATGTGGGTAATAGACTAATACTAATAGTGCATCTTTGGGTTATATCCTCGATGGGTGCATTGTATAACTACTCTACTAAACGTTACATAACGTAATAAGCCGACATTCATATCCAGAAACAATGATGAGTTGACATAGAAAGCAGCCTGAAGTACGCTACTAAAATTTTAGGTATGTAGGCATCTGTTCCCTCGCGTTTTTTAAACTATTATACGTACTTAGCCGATTCGAACGTAAAGCATGTCGTTGGAATTGACAGATGGATGATACGTCACACACAGGCTTGATGATTGTGAAAAATGTATTATCATGACGCGTGTGGCGTGTGCCGCGCCGGCACGAATGTGGGGTCCGAAAAGTAATAAACACTGAGTTTCATTATCGAATTCGCTTTTTGTACGAAAATATCTTCAGCTTCTTACTATTACTATAGACAAAAAACTACGATCAACCCATAGGCGTCCCGCTGTTAAGCATGGGTCTCATCTAAATAACGGTTTTATTTTTATTATTATAATTCGGGGTCCGAAATAACCAAGATATTTTTTTTATATTCGATACTACTGTACAATACGATGAATACTAGCAAAACTAAATATATGACTTTCTCATACAATATCTCGTCACAACCTCCTAAGAATGCTTTCTCAATAGCAGCTCACCATTGTACAAGCCCTCGAACTCATGTAAGCCTCTGTGCTTGCCCAACACCGGACAGCACAAGCAACATTAAATATTTAGGTGTCATAATTGAGCAACATCTTAATTTCAAACACCATATTGTAGCGCTTACTTCTAGAGATCGAAAATTGATATATATTTTAAAAAAATTAAGATGTGCAGCTAGCCGCGCCCTTATCAAATCAGTGTATTTGGCTCTCTGTCAATCATTGCTACATTACCGCATTACATCCTGGCGCGGTGCACATAAGACCACCCTGATAAACCTGGAAAGAGCTTCTTAAAGTCATCAACTTCCGTCCTTTCGATTATCCAACCCGCAAACTCTTAAACGAGTGCGATGTCCTCTCTGTTCGGCAACTGATTATTCGACAAATAATTTTGAAAAAGCATTCAATTACTCCATTTGATTCCGTTACTTGAACCAACCAAAGACGACTCGATACATTTTCGTCTCGTACACAACTCACAGCACACTCGCGATTCTTTTGCGTCCTTGGTTCATTTCTTTACCATAAATTAAATTCTACTTTGCATTATTTCGCAATTCATAAAATAGAATGTAAAAAGACCGTCAAATTCTGGCTTAAGAGTAAAACTTACAAGGAAACGGAGGACTTGCGGGAAGTTGTTTCACAATTAATTTTATTTAACCATTAATTTAGAACTACTAATTTTTTTATTGTTAAATATAGAACATCTCTTTTTAAGCTGTGAATGCTGTAATATTAAAGAATTTTCCCTTAAAGATGCTTAAAATACAGGTACCTACACATTTACTTAGTTTAGGCATCGCAAATTACATATTATTAGGTTGTAATATTAAAAATGTATGGCTTTACTATGAAGATTGCATAATTTAGGTTCCCTTTTTAATGCTTATTTTAATACTATAATAGCTTTATTTACATTTGTTTTACTTGTATTGTATTAGATTAAGCTATTGAAATAAATTTACCTTTATCTTTTATCTTATCTTTATACACATCCGATACTCGTCCGTGCTGATTCATATTGTTGTCTCTTTAATTTTTGTCTATAAGCGTCAAACGGAGAAAACTAAAAAACACGAAGAAAAATCTTTGGGCAAACGATTTGGTTTGTGACTTTTTTTAAATAGCCATTTGATACGTTTGGATACGTCTGGAATACAAACACATGTCACGACATTAACGGTACCTCCTTGTCGTTCCGATTAATTTTCGTGGTAATTATCAATGACAATTATCACTTCGAACCCTGTCATAATTCGAGTGCAACGACGCTCGCCCATTGCGGGCTACCGACGGCGACGCGCCGACGTCTAAGTCAATTATGGGAAATTTTATTGCTGTTAATTGACATGTTATATTCGTACTAACTCTATATGCAACACAAACAGCCCATCCTTTGCTAGCCTCATATTTGTTTACTAGAAAAAAAAGATCCGGGCTTTTGAAGTGAGAAGTACAGTTCTACAAGGATTATTTTATTTTAAGTATATTATGAAGAAAATAAGAAAGAAATAATGAAGAAAGTTAGAACTATATTCCTTATTTTAAACCAAATGACAAAAGAATTTATCATGAAAATTCCACTAAATACGAATTCAAAGTTTTTGTTCCATGACAATAATGTGATATATTTGAAAGTGATAACATAAATATATTGACTCCCACCGCTTACAAGACTATTTAGAACCCTAACCCAAACAAGAGAACTAAATTGTTTAAGAGAAAGTGAAAACATAATGTATTAGAACCACAATGGAAAATATTTATGACACGGCTCACAGGATCGAAGCCAAAAATTTTAATGCTAGAAAATTGTTTGCTAGGATATTCAGTGAACACAGCTTCTGCGAAACATGAAATAGCGTAATAGATAGTGATTACGAATTTGAAATCGCTACCAGATTTTCAGTATCCACAGCCTTTATGAATTAACTTCCAATATCAAGTCCGAGTTGTCTTATTATTCACCGCTTAACGAGTTTTTTTTATACTTTGACGCGTGTCAATTCATAGTACGTTCGTCCAAACTATTATTAAAAACTACTATTATTAAACAAAATTTGCTTGATACAAAGGCCTGTTCATTTAGACTTTGCGACAACGTATTATGGGATTTGCTGCACAATGAGTCGCATTCAAGTCAGCCATTGATGTAGCCGTCGCGTCAGTGGCGAAAGTATGTGCCGATATTGGCCGATATAGACATAGGTGCGCGGCAGATGCTACAATGCGCAATACATGAGCGCTGGTAGCCTAGTGGGCGAACAGTTCCTTTCAATTGCGAGGTGAACCGTTCGAATCTCTGTTGCGGCATACCTATGGTTTTAATTTCCAAGTTACGTACATTTGTGAATGCTTAGTAGCAACACCTCTCGCTAACAATGAAGAAAAATATCGCGATGAGATGAAGTCTGTAAATTTGTGTTTAAAGGACTCCCACACCCAGCAAAGCGACGTAATCGACTTACGACAAACCGATGAAAATTGTGTTAAGTGGATCCTTCGCTACTGTTTCATTCAATCATACACCACTATTATGCTCTGGCCACACAGAGGCGGCCGCGGAAGCGTTCGGGGCCGCCTCGGTGTGGCCTGGAGCATAAGTGTTCCCACAACTTTAATTATCCCAAGGAAAGCCCGTGACGTGGCCAAACTCGATAGAGCCGGTGAGCCCGGCAAAACTAGCGATTTGAGACTACCTTTCCATGACATACCACTAAGGCGCGTACACGTACGCTATATAAAGGTCAATAACAACTGACCAGGTACGTTCAGCTTGCCAATACAACAATTTTAACTAACCTTAAAAAAAATTGTAGAAACGTTTTGTTACTTTGCTATTTGAAGGTTAATAATCTAATAAAATTGTGAACGTCTTAGCCTAGTCTTGATTATTCAAATAACTTAGTACGTGGAGGTTTCAATACCAATGCCACATACATAATATCACTTCAGACGTGCAGTTGGGGTGTGTTTTGGATAATTTTCATTAAAAAATTAACTTCGTATAACGACGCAATGCAAAAGATTTTCCACGCAATCTTTTCCCGATCCACTAAGTGTTCAATATAATATACGAACGCAATAGACATAACTTTGTATAAAAAATACCATAGACACATCTAATACAAACCCTAACTCGTAAACTAGTTCAGCTGTACCAAACCGGCGAAGCAGGATTTGGTACCGGTACCAATGGAAAACCGATTTACTTAAAGGTACCAGTACTCAATGGCGGTTCCCACACTGCTTGCTACCGGTATAGAAAATACATGTATTATATTGGTATTGTCTGTTTCGATACCTGAATACCAGTACCAATGGAAAGTCGATATATTTACCTAAAGGTACCGGATTTTAAGCGCGGTTTGACAGTTTGCATTGTTCGGCTGCGGTCGTAAATCACGTTGATTGTTTAATTGCATTTAAATAATTGAATGCAGAACAGAAAAAAGAATGACACATTTATTATTACTAAATATTTTAATAAGTACCTGAATAATATGCAGTATACTAGTGTATACTGTTATTACAAGTCTACACAATACCGGATAATTGATAACGATATGTCAGTGAAACCATTTCTTGAAAATACAGGTGTAATTTATACCGCTAGTATTAAGATACTAGCGGTACCCTTATGACACATCTTAGGTGTTACGACACAAGGTACCGTAGTGAGCATAAGGGTATCGATTCCTGTAAATACAGGTGAAATTTATACCGATACTGTACCAAGTTTGGTGGCACCGGTTCCTGAAAATGTCCACATACCAAGACCTGCAGCAAAGTAAGCATTTTGTTGGAAATTTT